AAAGAACCAAATGGGACAGGCAAAAAAAAAAAAAAAAAAAGGTTCAAACATCGAGGAGAACCAGTAAAAGCATACTGAATGTACAAATGTACAAAGCTGTCATACCAATATTTAAAGTGTGTTGATTGATTCATAACATCAGCTCATACCAATTTCTGCCAATTGAGATGTGGCTGCACAGAGCATTACTACTTGTCTTGTAATGTAATGCAGTTATGGTAACATATTATCAGTGATTACATAACCGCAGAGCTCATTGGTGTGTTTTTGTGTGTCATCCAGTACTGAAAGAACACAACAAAGAGGAAGGAGAAGTATGAATGAAAATGTTGACCTAATGAAAAGCTGCGGGTCAAATCCTGCACATTTGTGGTTGATATCATTAGAAGTAGCTCAAATCTCTAATCTAGTTCAATAATGCCATCGTTTTTAGGTGTGATCAATACAAAGATATGGAAAATGCAACAATGCAGGGGTGATGACTCAATTCTGTGCAGCCTTCATCAGCGGGGTGATCACACAAATAGCAAGAGGGTCAACTGAATGTCCTCACTGAAATAAAGTTTTTTAGACCCTTTTTAATCAGGTCCTGTGAGAGTTTTACTAAGTCACTATTAAACTGGGAGACAGTACTAACATTTTTTTTCTCGGCCAAGTGGGGAGGTCTCAGAAGATTCTCGGCTCAGGTGCATAGTAAAAAGTCAAATAAAATTTCATTGTTATTGAGATAAATGTAAAATGTAAACCCCCAAAAAGTCTGTTTTCAGATGGCTGAAATGTGACCATGCAAAGTGTTGTCTCATAGTGTTAAACCAATCTGCATGAAAAACAAAGCACAGCCTAGAGCAGGACTCTTCAGCAGACTGACTGGGGATTTATGCAAACCCCTCTGAAACCCTACAGCGCAACTTAAAATGCACTTCCCTGGAACTGGAACTACAGAACACATCCACACAGCCCACAACTATTATGCTTGGCTCGTTCTGCACCGTCGGTTCCTCCTGTACACAAACTTTTTCCACTGCATATTTTTTTAATTTAACAGTGAGGCAATAACAATCATCATCTAATTATAAAGAGAAGTTACCAGTATAATAGCATCAGTATAAGGACTCCCACATGTCAGCAAATTCCTGGAGGGGGAGAGTGCTGAAACTATCAGGATTGATATGGGGGAATGTACAAAGAAGTGGAAAGACTAGAGGGACAAATAGGTTTGGCTCAGGGTTACCAGAAAGCATTTTCTTTTTTTCTGTTGACTTGGGACTGCATGTAAAACACCAGGACACGACCACACTGTATTTAACACGTAACCACACACAAGGATAAATGTTGGCAACTTACGTAGGTGACGTCGTAGACTCTACAAAGGTTCCCCACAGAAGTCTACATCAGCCTTAGTTCTAGAGTACATGGTACCAGCATACATACTGCAGGTTGGCCAACCAGCAACTTGACACCTTTCTCTACATCAAGAGTGAAGCTGGATCTCCTACCAATGTGCAAAAAGTATTTATGAATATCTTTTCAGCTATCTGGCGTTTAAAGTTTTTTCTTTACCCATAAAATGTTCACAGATCCGAGCATGCTGACAGATATGATGAAGGGCAACGTAACCAACGTGCTTCCCATGATCCTCATCGGTGGCTGGATCAACTGGACTTTTTCAGGATTTGTAACAAGTAATTTATCTCCCTGACCCACACAAAAGCAAGTTTGCCTTTGTCAAGATATCATTTAAATGGAAATTACATGCCGATGTTCTGCTTGTGCTTCCTTCGCACAGCTAAGGTTCCCTTCCCTCTCACGCTGCGCTTTAAGCCCATGCTGCAACAAGGAATAGAGTTGCTCTCATTGGATGCTTCTTGGTAATACTTGGACTCATACTGCACCACTGATTATTTATTGATATGAAAATGCTTAAGCTAGTGTGTGATGACACTGTGATTTGTTTGTGCGTGTGTATATTATGCAGGGTGAGCTCAGCATCATGGTATTTCCTGAATGTGTTTGGACTTCGAAGCATGTACTCTTTAATCCTAGGCCAAGATAACGGTAAGTGGAGTCTTTCACAAAGTTGAAATTGGTTTAAATGTTAAAACGGATAATAAGATTACATCATGTGACTTTAGTGAAAATGCCCACATACTGATTGTGTTTGCTTTGTGACTGAATGCCCGCAGGCGCAGACCAGTCGAGGATCATGCAAGAGCAGATGAGCGGTGCTGCCATGGCCATGCCTGCAGATACAAATAAAGCTTTCAAAGTATGTATTCTATAATTAGTTGAATTAGCTACAGAGGGGTGGGGGTTGGTGGCATGGGGCCTTGGGAATTTCATGTGCTGTTTGTTTTTGATTTTTAGGCTGAGTGGGAGGCACTGGAACTGACTGACCATCAGTGGGCGCTTGAGAATGTAGAGGACGATCTGATGAGCCGGGAGTTGGACTTTGATGGCATGTTCAGCAAGGAGCTGCCAAGCGGAATCTTCTGAAGGCCTAATCGCTTCCTTTTTGGAGACTCAATTTGAAATTTGATTATTTCAGGGATTTGTTTTGGGGTTTTTTTTGTTGTTTTTTTTTTTTTATCTGAAACCACACAACTGGGACAAATCCCTTCATATGCAAAGTTTACATCGTGTAATTTGTTGTAGTGGTCTTTTCACTTGTATCTACCTTCCATTCCTGTCCTTAAATGAACTAAAATGAACACAAATACACTGGTTCTACTGCTGCCTCATGCATAATAGGGAGCCCTGCTTTGTTATTTCAAAGAAAGAAGGGGCTGTTCTAGAGAAATTACGTGTTTGTTTTTTTTTAATGTGTTCTTGTTAGCTTGAAACTGAATGCAATCATAATGCCATTAAGTAATAGAATCTGAACTGCCTAGTGCTTCTTTTTCCTAATGTCATGCACAGCTAGATTAGCTGTCTTCATTTTGTATGTGTCATTTAAAAGCAAAATAGTACATAAAACAGTTTTACAGGTCAAAATGATCTATATTTAATAATGCTTTAACCATCCATCATTGCTCATATTTTAGATTGGAGGTCCAGAACAGGTTAGGTTTGTTTGTTTGTTTTGTGGCAGGGGAAATGTTGAGTTTTGTCATCGAGATATTGTTTTTGAAGTATGTAGACGGTTTATTTTGTAATTAACTCCCTTGTGTTTTGTACAGTATAAAGTCTGTTTTGATTCAAAATAGTTTTATTTGTTTTCCATGTACACTAACACTTTACTTTTCAAATATGAAGAAAGAGATGTTTTTGTTTTGTGCTGGGTTTTTTATTTTTTGTTTCTTTGAATAATAGTGATCAGTGTAAGGGAAGAAAAAGCACCACAGCTGAATATTCAAATAATACACATGGCACATTCATCCTCAGTAAAAGATTTGAATAGATACCGTGGACATTAACATTACTCTTTTGTTGTCAGTTTTCCACAATACAGTGTCTGCTTCATTTACCTGGATTAGGATGATTGGTAGTGAGGCAGTGAGGTGAATTTTTTTTAAATGGACAAAATGTCACTTAAAAGTAAGTTGTTTTTTAATTATACTGCAATCTTGTTTTAACAGCCTGTCAGTCATGTTGGTATGTTAAAGAAATGCAGGCAAGTGAACAAATGAATTGAGGAACATGAAGGATGATCATGCTTGAACACAGGTGTAAAATGTAACATAAGCATCCAATTATGCTCTGTGGAAAACAAAGGGGTCCGAAGTATGCCAAGGAAATATTCCCCACACCATCAACACCAGCCTGAACTGTCGATATAAGGCAGGATGGATGTAGTCAAAATGGCACAAAAGAGAAGAAAAAGTGACTTGAAAGAGGCTTCAGTGGTGAGCGCTTCAGTCACAAAGACTGCTCAACTGGGCAGTGTCGCAGTAAGAACTGTGACCAAAGTGAAATCTGGATTTTGATCTATAGAAAAGACAAGCGATTAGAGCTGTGAAAAGGCTACATTCATGACCATGTTCTATAGGGAAAAAAGTGCAGTGTCTATGAATGGAGTCATTTGATCTCATCACCATGAGCCTTCTGCTTGACCATTTTTGATTGCATGGTACAAAGATTGGGTATATAATGGTGGCTATGAAATATTAACTTTACATATCAAATACATTTCAAGATGTACTTTTCTAAAAAAAATTTAAAAAAGCATCCATTGACCCTCTTCCAATGTTTTTTTTGAATGAATATCTCAATACTACACAATAAATGGACTAGTTCTTATATAGCGCTTTTCTCCCCTATGTGAGAACCTAAAATGCTTTGTTCTTCACAAGCAGAGACTTATAATTGTGTCATTGTCTTCACAAATCTTCACATATCCTTTTTTTTCACAATCCCTTACACATTGAGAAGATTCCACATTTCAGATGAACTGATCCCCACAGCACAATACTCCTACCACTGTGTTACATGGTGGAGATGGTGTTCTTTGGGTTGTACGCCTCTTACTTCTTCAAACACAAGCAGCCATGAGCAAAGAGCTCTAGCTTTGTCTCATCTGACTAAAGGATACACTTCCAGTATACAGAGTCTTTCTCCAAGTTGTCTTTAGCATACTTCAGTCTAGCCTGAAGGTGTTTTTCTTGGTCTGCAACCTCGCAGTCCATTTCTGTGCAGGGTTCTAGTGATTGTGTTCTTTGATACTACAATTTCTGACTTGGCTCAGTCATTGAGTAATGTCTTGGCAGTTGTTCTTTAGACACATCTCTCACTTGATTTCTTTCCACAGTGTCTGAAATCTTTTGCTTCCTATCTCTGCCAGTACAAGCTCTCACATTTTGCAAGATACATACCTTCATATGCCAGGCTTGCTCTTTGCTAAGGGTTTTAATACTATGTGTAAACCGAAAGACAGTCCTCAGTTTTGACTCGAATTTGCAAGCTTTGAGCATTACAGAGTTAAAACCCGTCATTGCACAACAACGGTTTGTGCTGTGGGTCAATGAAAAGACCAGTTTTTCAGGGGGGTAATAATACTGACCCTGGTAATCATCCTTTTTTTCTGAAATTATTTATGCTTTCTAAAGAGCACTATTATGTTTGCAAATGCTATGTTGTAAACCCCTTGCTATATTAAAAAAAGCACTTGGACAAATGTTGACAAAAACTTTTAAATCATAGCGAGGATAATAATTTTGTCCTCGTCAGTAATAATAGCTGATTGTTACACAAAACATTTGCATTTGATCCCCGTTAAAATTTACAGTCTTCGCTTTATCTAACTGCCTGGAGGTCTGTTTAACGAGCTCTAAAAACCTATCATGTAAGTGAAAATTATCATCAGGTTAGCGAACACAGAGTTGAAGCACAGGAATTGTAAGATCATTTTTATGGGAAACTCGCTGTCAGTCAGTTGGCATTTGAATGTCCCGTAACTTACCGGTTTAGTAGTGTTAGTGACTGAACGCTGGAGTGCAATAGCAGCTCTCCGCGGCTATGCACCACCCGTAGAGGAAGAAGGTTTTCTATGAGGGCAAATGAAGCCAGTCCCAGTGCGTGTGTTTCAGCGCGTTCACGTTACCGGCACACAGGCTGCATGATGGCCGAGGGAGGCGGACCCGAGTCGGGTAACGCAGCGGACTCCGACTCGGAGCCGGTAGCTGCACAAATACCGACTCCTTCAACCGAAAGTCAAAAACAGACTATTGGGTCTCTTTTGAAAACGTCTCTGAGAAAGGGTGACGAATGGTAAGCTAGCGGCCACCAATACTTGGGTCTTTAGCTATCATTAGCCGATAAACAGGAAGTGTTAGCATGCTAAGCTAGCAAGCTAATGACAGCAATGCTTGTAAGCTTGAACTCGATAGCTGCTGTGCTAATGATAGTTTGGCAGGCTAGCACGCTTGCTGCTAGTCAGCCCGACATTTGAATTTCTCTATTAGTACTAATGCCTGTATTAACAGATATTATCCTTGACGCACACAAGCAACCCAGCTGCTAAGTGACTCATTTGCACATTAATTAGTGCCTGTTTTGTGATGAGTTGAGCGACGTTAGCAGTCGTGGTAGCTAGTGGGCTGTCAGAATAGCTAAGGCCCTGGATTCAGATTGTAGTTTCATTTTCCAGTGAAACAGTCTCGTTGTCAGTTGCGGGATGATGATGAGGAAATGGGCTCGCTGACAGAATTAATGTGAGAAGTAGTTACCTGCTTGTCATGACATACCGGTTAAACCGTGTGACGTTCCCCTTACCGGAAAGGCAACTGTGTTAGCTAACATAGTTTCAGACCATTAACACTGCTCAGGCCTGGGCATACTGCAGCCGGTGTACTAAAGAGGCTTCACCTCAGCCAGTAAACACAACACGACAGACATGTGAGATGGGCAAGCGTCCCCGTTAATCTCATTTGTTAATAGAATTGGGTGCCAAACGACCAGGTCACATTCATTCTTGCAGCCACTAGCTGCAAAGCTAACCTGTTTTTCTGGAGTTATTTAAATGACTCGGCCCTTCCATTTATGGTATTGTTAAAATTGAACTACTGTGCTTTGGTATTCATTTCCAGGAGCCTTAAACACTGTCAGGCATAGCTTGGCAAAACTAATCTCGGGATAAGATCATGCACCTGTTTGTTTGACACTTTGAAGCCCGTTAATTTTACAGTGTTGACACGAAAGAGCCATAGTCCAGCTTTTTGAATTAGCATTTGAAGTGTGGATACAAGCTTATTAACCAAAGGAGATTCTTTAGATGAGATTAAGCCAAACTAGCTTGCAGTTACTATAAATGCCAAGGCAGTTTGGTATTGCATAATCTTCTGGGAAAGTGTAGGGCTTTTATACCATACCTTTTAGAATCTCTTGACCCTTTTTAATGCTGGGGGAAGAAATCTTTTATGAGATATAAATGCTAAAGCTTTTAAGGGGAAAAGAGGATCTTCCAACGAGTGATATGTTTTTCTTTAACTGTGACTGATCAATTTGTTTTAGGTATCTAATAGACAGTCGGTGGTTCAAACAGTGGAAGAAGTATGTGGGGTTTGACAGCTGGGATATGTACAATGTTGGAGAACGAAGCCTCTATCCAGGACCAATTGATAACTCTGGCCTGTTCTCAGGTAAAATTGTCATTTTAAAAAGAATCCCCTAATGGACTGCTGTTGATTTTGCTTTAACAATATGAGTTCCACATAGAAATAAAAAACAAAACATTTAGTTCCTTAGCTTATACTTGTGGATTTTTTTTCTTTTTCTCTTTAAAGACCATGAGACTCAAGCCCTGAAAGAGCACCTTATAGATGAGCTTGATTATGTCCTAGTACCTACTGAGGCATGGAATAAGCTAGTGAGCTGGTACGGCTGCCTTGAGGGCCAGAGACCTATCGTCAGGAAGGTAAGGCTGTTAAAGATATTCTTAATTTTAGCCATGTACCAGAGAGCGTGAACTGGGCTTCCAAATGTCTCTTTTCGTCTCTAGGTCGTTGAACATGGCATGTTTGTCAAGCACTGTAAAGTGGAGGTCTATTTGCTGGAGCTGAACTTGTGTGAGAATGACAATATGGACAATGTTGTTACACGTCATTTCAGTAAAGCTGATACTATAGGTGAGCATCCATATGTGTAATTTATACGTTGGTGTTTGCTGGATAAAACTATTTGACTCTTCATGCTTATTTATCAAACTTTTCTCATTTTTAGACACTATAGAGAAGGAGATGAGAACACTGTTCAATATCCCATCAGAGGAAGAGACCAGGCTCTGGAACAAATACATGAGCAATACGTACGAGCAGCTGAACAAGCCAGACAGCACCGTACAGGATGCTGGTCTTTTCCAGGGACAGGTAGTGCTATTCAAATAAGATTGAGAATATTGTTTGACTACATCTCAATAATAAACTTGTGTGTTTTATTCACAATCAAGGTTAGAGAAGATGAAGGCATTAATTCAATTCTTTGTTTATAACAGCGGCCACTGAATTCCAGATCAGTCATAGCAGCTTTCAAGTTAGAAGAAAAATACAATGTATTAGAATAAAGAAACATTAGTTAGTCACAAAAGTGCAGGTCATAAACCTAACTACAGCTAATGTAGTTTTGGTGGCATATGTGTAGCATTAAACTCAAGCCTGAGATGTGTAAAGTCATGCATGAAATTCAGGTGTGCCAACCTGGCTTTCATGTCGAATATTTTCCCAGGTGCTTGTGATTGAGCGCAAAAATGAGGATGGTACGTGGCCCAGACAAGCTTCACATCCCAAGTAAGCTTTTTTTTTTTTTTTTTTTTTTTACTACTTCTTCTTCTTCTCCTCTCCAGTCACGCAGGCATGTTTGTTTACATATTTAGGAATGTGCTTTTCTGAAACACAATTTCATTCTTTCTTACTAGATCAAGTACAACCCCATCCAGGAATTTCACTACCTCTCCAAAACTCTCCTCAAACTCATCCCCAACAGTAACCAATGGAGACAGCAACTGCAGCCCTGGATACACGCTGAACAACAGCACCTCATCCAGCAACAGGCAAGGCACCTTTTCTAATCAACTTTTTCTCCCTTCTCTTTTGTTGTTTATTGAAACTTTACCTCTCATGGATAAATACTGGCAAAGCTTGTAAGGCATAGGAGTGATATTTCTTTTCACTGTTTACACACAGCTTGTCACTTAATTTTAAAAAGAGGGAAAAAACAACTTTCCAATATCCAATCTAAGTTTTCAACAAGTGGAGTTTTCAAAGACATTTCAAGGAAATGTGACGACATCTTCCAACTTGTTAAAATTCTTACAAATTTTAATGTAAGACAAACAAAAATTCTTGACAGGCTGCAAAACTAGGAATGTGATGTTTTACTTTGTCTGTAATGCCATTAGTCTTTATCTTATCATTTAACATCTCAGTTTTTTAATTTGTATTTATTTGTTTTAGCTCCTTAATGTCACCCAGAATAGAGCGAAAAATATATTCACACCAAATTCCAGTAGTTTGCAACTACATATGTTGTGTCGGTATAATCAGCTGCATGCATTTGCTCTTTATGTAGTCTGCTGTTTTAATGAAATTTGCAGAAATATGTAGATAGTAAATGAGAAAATATTAGTTTTTGTTACATCGAGAGAGTGATTAAAGATCTAAAGATGCCCGTTGTCTATTGTCTGACCATATTTAAGTTTAAAAAAAATGTAGATTGCATGCATGCTTGAGTGTACTAGTATGCTGAATAATAAAGAGCATGTAGTTTATAGGCATATTTGTAGGACAACTGGGATTTTATATGCACCTAGCTTACTTGATTACCATGTGTTAACAGCTGTATCCTGAATACAATACTACAGACAAACAATATCACATCCTTTCTGCCAACAGATATGGGGGCTACAATTCATACAGCTCCTACAATTACAGGGAGTCACAATCGCAGCCTGGCTTATGTGGGCTCAGTAATTTGGGAAATACGTGCTTCATGAACTCTGCCCTTCAGGTAAAAAAACAACAAGCATTTGCAGCTTACGCTTGGTGGAAGTGAGCTTTAATATTTCTGTGCACATAATCATTTTTTGTGTCTTTTCTTTTTTTTGGTTCCTGTTCCCTCAGTGCCTGAGCAATGCATCTCCACTCACAGAGTACTTCCTCACTGACCAGTATGAGGCAGAGATAAACAGAGAGAATCCTCTGGGAATGAGGGGGGAGATAGCTGAGGCCTATGCAGATCTAGTAAAACAAATGTGGCTCAGCCGCAGCAGTTATGTGGCCCCACGTACCTTCAAAGTAAGTTGTGTCAAATAGCTTGAACTGAAGTCGGTGTATACCGACTGAATACATCCAGGCAAACTCATCGAGGCCTATGAAGGTAATAATAATCATCCTTTGATTGTCAGACCCAGGTCGGACGCTTTGCCCCCCAGTTTTCAGGCTATCAGCAGCAGGACTCTCAGGAGCTGTTGGCCTTCCTGCTTGACGGGCTCCATGAAGATCTGAATAGGGTCAAGAAGAAGCCTTACTTGGCCCTAAGGGATGCAGAGGGCCGTCCAGATGAGGTATAGTACAAATGTAGATATCGTGTTGTTTTGTCTCTAAAGAGTAAAAGTCTCTCATGATGGTGCCGAAATATCAACCTTTACAGAGCTATTTTTACATTTTTGTTCTACTTTAAATTTGAAACAGAATGACTGCCAGTCTGCTTTATACTGACAGCTAAACATGAAATAGTTTTTCTGTATAGTAACAAGAAAGCAATATCATCGTTGAATTGATGGTTTTAAAATGCCATCTAATGGAGGTCTTCTTCCTTTTCTCCACTGCTTGGTGAACTACAGATTGTTGCCAAGGAAGCCTGGACAAACCACCGTTTGCGCAATGACTCTATTATAGTTGATATTTTCCATGGCCTCTTCAAATCCACCTTGGTATGCCCAGAGTGCTCCAAGGTATCTGTTACCTTTGACCCATTTTGCTACCTCACATTGCCTCTGCCCTTGAAGAAGGACCGTACCATGGAAGTTTTCCTGGTGCGATCAGACCCTCAGTCAAGACCCACACAGGTGAGTTGGCATTAACCTTCACTCTCGCTGCTCCAGACCTAAATCCACAGTCAAACTGATAAGTATCTATGATTTGGAGATTTAAAAAAAAATTGATAGTTGATATGTCTAAGATGTATTTCTATATCTCTTTAAAATAGCAGCATAGTCACTGAGAACATCATATGTTGTTTTCTTTGTCTTACAGTATCGGGTGGTGGTCCCCAAACTGGGTACTATAACAGACCTGTGCAGCGCCTTGTCCAAACTCTGTGGAATCCCTCCAGAAAATGTTAGAATCTTATTCTTTTACATCACGAGTTTTGTCTAATTTATGATGCTCACATGTTTGTTTTTCTTACTCTTGGGAAACAGTTTATAGTTTGTTCTAAATTTGCCTCCTTTATCTTTGTAGATGGTGGTGGCAGATGTTTACAATCACAGATTCCATAAACTTTATAGACGGGATGATGGCCTCAACCAAATCATGGAAAAGGATGACATCTTTGTGTAAGTTTGTGTTATTGACCTGGTGATGATCTGAGAACTCACTCACTGTGGTTGTACAATGTGAGTGTAAGACATGTTTCCTATTTTGTGTCAACGCTCTCTGCAGGTATGAGGTACAGGAGGAGAACAATGAAAGGATGAACCTGCCTGTTTATTTCAGGGAGCGCCACTCAAAGCATGCTGGAAGCTCCACAAGCACCATGCTGTTTGGCCAGCCTTTACTTATCACCGTGCCCAGACATAACCTCATAGCAGACGTTCTTTATGATAAGATCCTAGAGAGGATTGGGTAAGAACCTACTGTATTGGTAAAAAGAAATTCAGCTATATTATGGTGTAGTAGCAGTGTGCATACAGTACATCTGGAATGAAGAAGTTTAATGGAAAGGGAGCAGAATATGCAGACCCTGAATTATTTCCAAAATTGGTTAACCATGTTAACTCGTGTTCCTTGTTGTGTGTTGCAGACGCTACGTAAAACACTCCCAGAGCCCTTCTACTGAAAGCAGGGCGTCAGCCTCAGCCACCTTATCCAGCTGCAGTCAGGCCCCTGAATGTTCTACATCTTCTAGTCTCAATGCCAGCCTGGGTGGCTGTGGCAGTCCCTTATCAGATGGGGCCTCCTGCAGTGCCAGCTCCAGTAATGGCAGCAACCACTCAGGGACCTGCAATGAAACGAATGGGTTGTATGATGGTACGAAGCTGACATCAACTACTCATATCCAGCTGAGGAGTCGTCATCAAGGAGCACTCAAAAAGCATTGCAACAAGAATAATTAGATGTGGTTTATGTCACTGTTTAGGTGAAGAGGAGGCCATGGACCACCAAGTGAGTCCAGAGCCAGAAAATGGCCAATCTGAAGAGGAGGAGGAGGCCTCTGACTTAGAAAATGGGTCCAAAGGAGACACGACCAAGCTCTTTACTTTCAGCATAGTCAACTCTTACGGAACGGCCAACATTAGCCCGCTGCCTTGTGATGGAAATGTCCTCAAACTTAATCGTCAGTGTACATCTTTAAACTTCAATTGCATGGAAAGTTTCCTTTTTTCAGGCCACTTTACGATAACACAGCTTCTTCCACGTTCTCTCCTTTGCAGCACATTCCACAGTGGCCATCGACTGGGACACAGAGTCGAAGAAACTCTACTATGATGAACCGGAAGCAGAGGTCAGTTGATATTCGTCACACAGTTCTGTGACACAGTGCTCAAACACTTCGTTTATATTTGTGTAAATATTGTGCTTAGGCTTATGAGAAGCATGAGAGCATGCTGCAGCCCCAAAAAAAGAAAACCACTGTGGCTCTAAGGGAATGCATCGAGCTCTTTACAACAATGGAAACACTGGGAGAGCATGACCCATGGTGAGGACCCTTCAGCATAACTTACTCTTAAATGTTTACACACATTATATTTTATCTAAACTGAATATGTTCTTGTAGGTATTGTCCAACATGCAAGAAACACCAACAGGCCACAAAGAAGTTTGACTTATGGTCACTTCCTCGGATTCTGGTGGTTCATCTAAAGCGTTTCTCATACAACCGATGCTGGAGGGACAAGCTGGACACAGTGGTGGACTTTCCCATCAGGTGTGTACTGTGTCGTGGCAGAATCCCCAGTTGGTCTTTTAGCCATTTGGGACTTTGAGATTTTACTCAGTTTTCCCTCTTTTCTTTTATTGGCTGTGTCCAGTAGCATTAGCAAATAAAGATGCAAAAAAATCCTCCTGCCTTTTATATACTCAGTCACATGCTTTTTACCAATTACCTTTTTAATATTGTACCTTTTGGTAGGAGAAATATAAAACTAAGGATTAAAGTTACAGTGTGTAAAATTCTCTTTGTCAGCATACTGTTGTCAAGATCAGTATCACACATTTTTGACTCCAGTACTTACAAATATAACTTCCTGAAAAACTAAAGAAGGACATGATTCTCAGTTTATTTTTAGTGTGATTTGTTTTGTTTATAGATAAGAGAGCAATGGGCTAAACAATGATTTAGTTTTCCACATAGCAGCTACCCATGTAGTGAAGGTAGAAAATAATACTTCTTTACAGAACCTTCTTTGTAAAGATGGTTCCTTCCTTAGTCATGTCAGCTAAATTTTAGTTTGTATTGTCAATCAAGATGACAACTCTTAACATCATTAAACCATGACTGATGTTACAGCATTGATTGAGAGGCCTCTTGTAATATAAATGGAAAAACTGTGTGTTTTAAAAAGACTTTTCTTAAAAGTTAAAGGAAGTGTATGAAAATGATTACAAACATTAATGCAGTTTTATGTAAAATAGTGAAAATTTAAAAATAAGGAACTGGAAAACACTGTAGTATTGGTATAGCTTTGACTCTAGAGGGAGCTGTAATTTGAAATTCACAGAATAACCAACCAGAACTCTGAATGAGGAAATACTCATTCAACTTACAAGAAGTGGATTATTATCTTATAAACTGGCATGACCCCAAATAGAACATTTAGACCTACTTTCTGCTCTTATCTTTTATGGTTGTGTGGATTTTTGTAATACTGATGGTCACTGATTTGTTTGCCCAGGTTGTTCATTAATCAAAGGCTTTGCAGTTTTTTTTCTCCACATGGCAACTTTGGGCTAGACACCCAAGGTTGCTCCAGAAAGACAGGCAACCTGCTGCTGTGGGTGTGTGACTGAGGAACAATGGATTTTGTTACATGACTAAGATGTTAGGTGACAAATGCATAAGATTTCCCAACGCTGGTTAATTTGTTAACTTTTTCCCCACTCCCTCATTAGAGAGACACAAATGTTCTATTGTGTCATAAAAGGGAAGTTGCCTCACAGTTAAGCTAACAGCTACATGTCAATCTTAGGACACCGTTGAGGAACTTGATCCAACGGAAACCACAGAGCACATTGTGTTACTGAAATCCTTATTAAAAAAAAAGTCTGACTCACACTTATTAAGGATGGCTTAAACAGTGCAGTACATGCAGGGTTTCACCATCTGATGGTATTTTCTCTGCCAGGGATCTCAACATGTCTGAGTTTGTGTGTGACCCTAAGGCCGGCCCCTACATCTACGACCTTATTGCTGTGTCAAACCACTATGGAGGAATGGGAGGGGGTCACTGTAAGTCAGCATTTAATTTATACAATGAAATTTCCCCTATGTAGTCTTTGATGCCAACTGCTGGTCGCAGTTTGTTTAGCCTTTAAACATGAACACAGTATGTATCAGCAGATGGGGTGCTCAGAAAGTCACTGTCTCCAAGGACGCTGCATTTGGTTAAAATTTAATAAGGCGTAGAGCCTTGTACATCATTGTTTTCATTGTGCACTCACCCTCAGTATATTTTTCTTTGATATGCCATCTTTTGTCATAGTGAAGCAGTGTAATCAGACTTTTATGTCTTCCTGAACAAAATTCCTGAAAAGTCATGCGTTAACCTTACGTTAACCTCTGTGTAACAGACACGGCTTATGGCAAGAATAAAGTGGACGGAAAGTGGTATTACTTTGATGACAGCAGCGTCTCATCTGCCACAGAGGATCAGATTGTGGTGAGTTTTCATAGTGTTGTGAACTGGTGATCACTGGGTGTTTGTTTTCTTTAGTCTTTCAAGTGAAAGAATGATGTTTGAGTACTGACACTGACTTTGGTGTCAGGTATTCCTCTTCTAGTAATGTAATCTTAGCCGTGTTGTGCCATTACAGACTAAAGCCGCCTACGTGCTGTTCTATCAGCGCATAGACGAAGAAAGCCCCTCCAAACCTCAACCTTCGGCGTCATTGGGAGGAGCCCCGGAGCCAGCCGATGACCACATGGACACAAATTAAGAAGCCCAGATGAAAAGGGACACACACTGAAATGCATATGGCAAATAGAGACACTCGGACGCACACACAAAGCTACTTTAGTGGCAGAGGATTCCACAGACGTAAAATTATTAATCCTACCTTCCCTGTATTTTTATTTGTCTCATTTGTTGTCAGCTACAGCCATCAGCCTTGACATAAGAGTGAACTGTGAGACTTTCCTCCCTGCAGCAGGTGGTCTGCTGATTTCTTAAAGTAGTTTGCTAGTCTGGATTGAAGAGGAATATAAGTGAATATAGAAACTTAAGGTTAGAAGTGCCCTCAAATATATAGATAAACAAATGTTTCTGTTGCCCACAAGACCAGTCAGAAATATTTAAAACAAAAAGCCAAATGCATTTGTTTCAACCAAAGCGATCCAAGGTATTTATGATAAAATGAACAAACTGATGTGTTTCCAGGATGCTGGCTTTGTGCCTAGATTTATCTCACATATTCTTGCTGTGCTAAGGTAAATTTTAGCAGTGTGATGTGCACACATGATAGTACATGGCACCTTCTTTATTGAAAGAATCCTGTTACCTTATGCCACCTGTTTAAAGTTAAACTATTTCTGAGGGGATCCTTCGGCTTCAGACTAGCAGTGGATCTGTGCCGCATCTAGACCACAGAGAGGGTGTCTCATTTCAAGGTCCCTAACATCTAGATCTTGACATGAGTTGTGGCAGAAGCTGTTTTGGGGTTTTTTGTTTTTTTTTGTTTTTTGTTTTGTTTTGGCCTTGCTCTAGTTCAGCCATGA